GGTGCTGATTCTCATCCCAGCCGCTTCACACTCGGCTGCAAACCGTCCCAGTGCATGCTGCAGGTCCTGGTTCGTTGGAGCCAACAGGACAACATCGTCCGCAAACAGCAGAGATGAAATCCTGTGGTCTCCGAACCGGACCCCCTCCGACCCCTGGCTGCGCCTAGATATTCTGTCCATAAATACAGTGAACAGAACCGGTGACAAAGGGCAGCCCTGTCGGAGGCCAACATTCACCGGGAACAGGTCTGACTTACTGCCGGCAATGCGAACACAGCTCTGGCTCCGGTCATACAGGGATCGGATGGCCCTCAGCAGAGGACCTCCGACCCCGTACTCCCGGAGAACCCCCCAAAGGACACCCCGGGGAACACAGTCGAACGCCTTCTCCACAAAGCACATGTGGACAGGTTGGGCGAACTCCCATGAACCCTCGAGTATCCGATGGAGAGTATAGAGCTGGTCCAGTGTTCCGCGACCGGGACGAAAACCACACTGCTCCTCCTGGATCCGAGATTCGACCATCGGCCGTAACCTCCTCTCCAGTACCTTGGAGTAGACCTTACCGGGGAGGCTGAGGAGTGTGATCCCACGATAATTGGAACACACCCTCCGGTCCCCCTTCTTGTAGAGAGGGACCACCACCCCGGTCTGCCACTCCATTGGCACTGCCCCCGATCGCCACGCGATGTTGCAGAGACGTGTCAGCCAAGACAGTCCTACAACATCCAGAGACTTTAGATAATCAGGGCGGATCTCATCCACACCCGAGCCTTGCCACCATGGAGGCTACCAACCACCTTGGTGACCTCAGCCAGGGAGATGGATGTACCCGCCCCAACATCCTCAGCCTCTGCCTCTGTAACAGAGGACGTGACGGGGGGATTGAGGAGAACCTCAAAGTATTCCTTCCACCGCCCGACAATATCCCCAGTCGAGGTCAGCAGCTCTCCACCCGCACCGTACATGGTGTTGGCAAAGAACTGCTTCCCCCTCCTGAGGCGCCGGATGGTTTGCCAGAATCTCTTCGAGGCCGACCGATAGTCATGCTCCATGGACTCTCCGAACTCCTCCCAGTCCCGGGTTTTTGCCTCTGCAACAGCCCGGGCCGCGGCACGCTTGGCCTGCCGGTACTGGACAGCTGCCTCAGGAGTCCCCCGAACCATCATGGCTCGATAGGACTCCTTCTTCAGCCTGACAGCATCCCTTACTGCCGTTGTCCACCACCGGGTTCGGGGGTTGCCGCCGGGACCAGCACCAGAGACCTTGCAACCACAGCTACGAGCCGCCGCATCGGCGATTGAGGCAGAGAACATGGTCCACTCGGACTCCATGTCCCCCTCCTCCGCCGGGACCTGGGAGAAGCTCTCCCGGAGGTGTGAGTTGAAAGTCCGTCTCACAGGGGGCTCAGCGAGACGTTCCCAGCAGACCCTCACTATACGCTTGGGTCTGCCAGGTCTGACCGGCTTCTTCCCCTGCCAGCGGATCCAACTCACGACCAGGTGATGATCGGTTGACAGCTCCGCCCCTCTCTTTACCCGAGTGTCCGAGACACGCGGTCGAAGGTCAGATGATACGACAACAAAGTCGATCATCGACCTCCGGCCTAGGGTGTCCTGGTGCCACGTGCACTGGTGGACGCCCTTGTGCTCGAACATGGTGTTCGTGATGGACAAACCGCGACTGGCACAGAAGTCCAACAACTGAGCACCGCTCGGGTTCAGATCAGGGGGGCCGCTCTTCCCGATCACCCCTCTCCAAGTGTCACTGGCGTTTCCCACATGGGCGTTGAAGTCCCCCAGGAGAATAACGGAGTCCCCGGGCGGTGCACCGTCCAGTACCCCTCCCAAGGACTCCAAGAAGGCCGGGTACTCTACACTGCTGTTAGGCCCGTAGGCCGTCACAACAATGAGAGACTTGTCCCCCACCCGGAGGCGGAGGGACGCGACCCTCTCATTCACCGGGGAGAACTCCAACACGTGGCGGCTGAGATGGGGGGCAATGAGAATGGCCACCCCAGCTCGCCGCCTCTCCCCGCGGGAAACTCCAGAAAAGTGGAGCGTCCAACCCCTCTCAAGGAGTTGGGTTCCAGAGCCCAAGCTGTGTGTGGAGGTGAGGCCGACTATCTCTAGTCGGTATGGCTCAACCTCCCCCACGAGCTCGGGCTCCTTCCCCCCCAGTGAGGTGACGTTCCACGTCCCAAGAGCCAGATGTTGTGTGTGCGGACTGGGTCGCCGAGGTCTCCGCCTTCGACTGCCGCCCAGTCCTCTCTGCACCGCTTCACCACGGACCCCTCTGCAGGTGGTGGGCCCACAGGAGGGACTGCCCACGTCATCCCTTCGGGCTGAGCCCGGCCGGGCCCCGTGGGCTAAGGCCCGGCCACCAGGCGCTCGCATACGGGCCCCGACCCCAGGCCTGGCTCCAGGGTGGGGCCCCGGCTGCGCCATGCCGGGCGACGTCACTGTTTTCGTGTTAGTGCTGTCCATGGTGTCTTCTGGACTGCTCTTTGTCTGACTCATCACCTGAGACCTGTCTGCCATGGGAGGCCCTACCAGGGGCATGAAGCCCCAGACAGCATAGCTCCCAGGATCATCCGAGTACTCAAACTCCCCCACCACGTTAAGGTGGCAGTCCAGGGGGGAGTCCAGGGGGGAGCAAGAGTAATGTTTAGCAAATGTTATCGCTGGAAAGAATTGTGGCGCTACTCCCCACGGGCTCCATTAGCGGCAAAGGAGATGGCTAGGCTAAATGCTAAATGCTAACAACAGACTCGGGCGCACTCCATACGTCACGGTAAACTCAGATCCAATCGTTTCAATCTATAGAAGGAGTTAACCCCTCCCACCTGTTAACAGAGCTCAATGGAGCACATCCAGACCTTAGTACGAAATGTAATTTGTACTTTGGTGTGGTATGACCAGGCTAATAAATATTGTTCTCGCTATGAATTTTACAAATATAATAGGGTCTGAGGACAACAAATTCTGGATCAATGAGGCAAGACATGTGAAAACATGCCCCTGAGGACTATAAACCAGGACAAAGGAGCTTTTTTACTCTCACATACCCAGGATCCTGTCCTGAAGAAGTAGCATTGCAGGACGATGCTGTCGTCCTGCCTCTGGTGGTTGGAAAATAGCATTAAAAACTGACAAGACGCACAAATGACAAATTCCATGTTCTTGTTCAAACTGGATTTTAAATGGATAGAATCATGTATATCATGTATTCGTCCATTAAACATGGATATGTTGTTGCAAAAATGTGCAGTGTTTTGTGTCTTAGTGATAAGACACAAAAGACTGCCTGCCCAGACTGTAGACTCTGGATTATACAACTATTTTTAAGCTTGGATGAACATTTTGTACTTTTTCCCATTATACAAGTTCTTGTCATCTGCCAGACCGAGCTCCAGCTCAGGTTCTAGTCAATCTTTTATTCCTTTTTCCCATCAAAAGCGTCTCCACTGATTTGGCCAAAATGAGCGCAAAAGCAGCTAGTAACTGTGGTTTCAATGAATATTAATGCCTCCCTTTACACATCTACTGCAGGTTTAAGTGGGTAAAATGGATACTAGCATGTTTTTTTATTCATTCTTCCTTTTAGTCTTAATTATTCATCTTGTCTTTGGACAAAATGTTATAAAATGGCTATGTATTTCCCATGTAGGGCTTTCCCCGACTTGCGACGCAGAGTCTTGTATGTTTAACATGCCTGAATTATGTATAGTTGGACCAGACATCTTCTATTATTAAGGTATTGTGAGGCGTGGAGGCATCTCTCTGTGCAGCTATAGTGAATTAAATGACAGCTGTTAAAATGGCAGTTAAACAGTTGGTGAATTGTGTACGTGAGCCTATGACCTTAGAAGCGATCATAATGCATGTTGTCTTTATAATACAAAAGATGTCTCTGGGTTAGACCTGTCATGAAAACATTCTGAGAACCTTAGCAGTTCTCTTTAAAGCCTCATCCTTTGGTTAAGTTTCTTGATCGTACATGGATTGAAACACGTAAAATGTACTCTTATATTTTGCACTTTTACCTTTAGAGCCAAGATGGACAGACATGCCCATACCTGTGGACGTTGACTAGACCACGGTGATCTGTTATTCAGAAAAACAGACCAACAACAAATCTCAAATTTATACAATGGACTTAGTTGACAGGCCAGAGATTTTTTTTTTCTTCCATGAAGTGTAATTAGTAACCAGGACCCAACTTGCACTTTTTGCCATATGATGGAACTATTGAGACCTGCTTCTTCATGATCTGTGTTGGTTGCTCCGTTTAGTCTGTCCCAAGGCCCGGCATGCCAAGATGTCTGCCCTTCAAATCAATGGCTTGTACTCAATGGTTCATGCTCGCACCATGGAGGCCGAAATATTAACGGGAATGACATATTTTTGATCATATCTCAGCCTCTTGCTCTTACCCAGTAGGTGTTTAGTGTTCTACTTCCACAAGACAAGCCCTCCAACCAATCAGCGCGCTTGCAGAGTGTGAATGAGAAAGAACCAAGTTTGTTGCACAAAATGTGTATCTGGATTATAAATGGTCTGTCTAGCAGTGTGCTCCATCCAACCCTTTCGTACCTGGTCCCCTGCCCTCCCCTGGTCCTTTTTATGAACGACTACTCAAATTGGTCCCAACAGGGCACAGCAAAGGGTTCTAAAAAAGATGGTGGCCACTTGGTGAATGCCTCCTCAATTGCTGTCTTGCCAACTGTGGGTTATGACATGTATTGAGTATAAATTCTATTTGTGTGTGTGTGGTTATTTTGTTTTTGAAAATACAAGAAACAGAAGGTGAAGTAACAGTAATATTTTCCTCTGAGAAACATACTGTAGCTCTTTGTGTAATCTCCAAACCATTATACATTGTCCGATTATCATAATCACTACATTAGAGTGGAGTATAACAGTTGATTTATCGTTTTGTCTATATTTTCAGCAAATAGTCAAAGCCCTAAGTATAAAAAACCTTATTTTGTTTGTCAGATGGATACACCACAGATGACATTGAGTTCTACTGGAGAGGAGGACACAACGCTGTGACCGGAGTCGACCGGATCGAGCTGCCGCAATTCTCCATTGTTGACCACAAACTCATCGCTAAGAAAGTGGTTTTCTCAACAGGTAAACTTGTTTTGTCTATGGAAAATGTTAAAAGTTGTCCATACAATGGCTACTTTACCAAAGTAAGTAAGTAATGTTTGTTTATATACCGCCTTTCACAGACCAGAGTCACAAAGCGGTTTACAATTGTTATTTTTTGGGCATTTGTCTCTCACTCCACACAGAGATGGGAGCGGGGTCGCCGAACAGGAGGTGCATGCCAGAACTATAGTAATATTTTTAGTGGTAGGGGAAACCGGAGTACCCGGAGGAAACCTACGCAGACACGGGGAGAACATGCAAACTCCACTCAGAAAGGCCATGGTCCGACCGGGATTTGAACCCAGGTGCTATCCACTCAATCAATCAATCAATCAATCAATCAATCAAATTTTATTTATAAAGCACTTTTCATACAAAAGATGCAACACAAACTGGTGGTTTGGTTAAAAACAATCCCGCCGGCCCATGACCCCTCCCCCCGACCACCCAACAGACCCACCCCAAACCACAGACAAACACACACACGCTCTCATGAACACACACACACACACACACACACGCACCAGTAAAACAGTAAAACAATGATGAGAGACTTGGCAGGGTTCGGATGCAACCAGCTGAAAAAGCGTCATCCAAGGAGCCGTCTGCACCAGGAGCAGAGAGCCGCCTGTAGCCACAGGGGACGACACAGGATCTAGAAGAGACCCGAAACAGTGGCCCCAGGCCCCCACCAGGTCCAAGAGTCCGACCCCCACAGCCACACCGACCACTGCTCCCAGTGCAGAGGGCTCCTCCAGAGGAAACACTGGGTACACTAAAAACAATACAACAACAATACAATAAGTAAAACACAAAAATGTGAAACTAAAATGAACTAACACACAATACATGAATAAAAGCAATAGCAATATAATAAATAATAGAAGATAAATAGAATATATAAAAGGAAATAGTAAAAACTAATCAAAAGCTAATCTAAAAAGGTGCGTCTTGAGCCTGCTTTTAAAAATATGAATGTTCACTGCGGCCCTGAGCTCCTCCGGCAGACTGTTCCAGAGACGGGGGCCGTAGTGCTGGAAAGATGCCTCGCCGTGAGTGTGTGTCCTGACTTTGGGGATGGTTAGGAGTCTGCTGCCGGAGGAGCGCAGGGGCCGGGAAGGTTCATAGGATAAGAAGGCCCAAGACCATTAAGACATTTAAAAACCATTAAAAGAACCTGAAATCGATCCTGAAACACACGGGGAGCCAATGCAGCGATTTTAAAACCGGTGTAATGTGGTCCCGCCCCCTGGTCTTAGTCAGGACACGTGCTGCCGAGTTTTGAAGTAATTGTAAACCTGAAATGTTCTTTTTGGGAAGACCAGAGAGCAGGGCATTACAGTAGTCAATGCGACTGGTGATAAAAGCATGCATCAGCGTCTCCGTGTTGCCCCGAGAGAGAATGGGGCGGACTTTGGCGATGTTCTTTAAATGATAAAAACCTATTTTTGTGATGTTCTTAATGTGAGGAATAAAAGTCAGCTCAGAGTCAAAGATTACGCCCAGGTTTCTCACTTGTGATGATGGATTAAAAGAGTGTGAATGGAGTTTTGACTCAGCCACCGTGCCGCCCAAAATATCTTGTAATTTTGTATTATAATGTAAGACAACATGATGTTCAAAGTTAGATCTGTGAACACTCAAAGCCCAAAGACTTTCTTTATTCTCTACAGCGGTAAATGCATTTAAATATATAACACATAGTTCATTCCCATTTTTAAAACAATAAAAATCTCCGTAAAACAAACTTATGGATCCCATTCATATCTATGCTAATTGTATCCCTGGCTCTATAATGTATTTTGCTTTTCCATTTTTTAATTTAAAATGTTATTATTTTGCAGCTTTTGGATGAATTACACGGTACACAGGAACATTGTGGATGTAGCAATTTAATTTTGTTATGCCCGTTTTATATCAATTACCATAACATTAGCATGTACTTACAAGACAACAATATGATTAATTGCTGTTTAAATCAAACCATAAACACTTTCACAGTGATATTCATCTACACTGCATTTACATATTCATGCTTTTGGCCTACAGTTCCAGTTAAATTAGCAATTTACTCAGTTCAATACCAGGAAATGGTTTATTGAATACATGCAAAACATAAATTCAATAGCTGTGAAATTGCCAACCAATACGCCTATTGTGCTGCACAAAGCTATTAACAGGTGAAGCCTTCAACTACATGATTGTGCATCCATGCATGGGTTTAAAAAGGGTCCTATGTGCATTTTGTTATGACTAGAATTCCATTATTCCATTTAAAAAATGATAAAACAAACAAAAACGCCCAAAACTCCTAACCTTCAAGCTAACTAGGTCTCGGAAGCCTGTTTACTCTAAAGCAGACGCAAGAATCAAGTGACCCTCACATCCTGATGTGGTGGATGTGGTCTTTGTCACTTGTCAACTGTCAATTTACGGTGGGATCAATTACCACACAATCTCCTCATCCTTCTCCAACACGCTGATCTTAAATCCAGTCATGGTAGAATAGAAGCTCAGGGTTAAAGCACAATCACTATTCCCGCCAATTTCAGTCCTGGTTTGGTTCTGGGTTAGTCCTGGTCATTCTGTAGGACTCAAATCTCCATAGAGATGCAATACATGTCAAAAACAATCAGTGAAAATATTGTGTGAAATAATCCGGGCCGGGATGAAAAAAGGTTGGACCACCGATTTGGATGACTTCACGTCGTCTACTGCAATGGCTCTGCATTTTTCCACTATAGGTTTTGAGCCAAGGATAGACAATGTCACCACCACCTTGCCCGCGGGAAGGATTTCACAGCTTACCCTAAGAGCCAATTGAGTCAGCTGTCAGAAATTCATTTAAGGGTCAAGGTTTTTTTGTTTTTTTTGTGTGTTTTTTTTACTGTAGACTGAATGTATTGCTTTCCCTAAAACACAATAGTATCACCTCTTTTCCCAAGTTAGAGCCATGGTATAGTGATTATTCAATTCAATTCTATGTATTCTTGTATAGCCCTAAATTACAAAAGTAGTTATCTCGGAGGACATGAATTTGCCAACACAGATTAGAGAATCAAGAAATAAAACAAACAAAAAACACATTGGTATTGGTCCATGAGGGGCAGAAGTGTTGATAAATGTCCATACATGGTGTTGAATGTTGAGTGTCATGGATCATCTCCACTCTCCTTTTAGTTAGACCTCACAAACTCTAACAAACCCTTCTGCATCAGCAATATGATAAACGTATACATATTAGAAATTATAAAATGGAAGATGTTTAAAATCTGTGCTGTTAGCTGTTGTTTTATGGTATTCAATGTTGAGCCTGTACCAGACTGGTTCCCAAAGTATGCTTTGATCTGTTGTGAAAGCAGCTCTACTTAAAGATATATAGGAAGATGTTCCCAAATTTTACGAACAAACTGCCCTCTCCACTTTTTGAACAAACCTCTGGTTTTATTTGATGAGCACGTAGCACCAGAATGATACAATAGTCGGAAGTTGAAAATTCTCCTCTATACCTTTAAGAGATCATTGAAACAGGAAGTATGCTGCGGCTGTTGTTGCAAATTCTGTGACAGTCCTTAGCCATGTTACCCCAGCTCACTGATACTGATTTTGAAACAGGTTTTATCAGCATGTATTAGATTAGATTAGACTATACTTTATTTGTCACTATACACATGCCTAATGAAATCAAAAGCAACTCCACCAGTGCAGAAATGTACACACAGAATAAGTTGATAGACATATACAGAAATACATTAATAACATTGAAGTGCACAGTTGCATCTATTGCTCAGGAGTTATAAATATAATATAAAAGACATGAACATTCAGTGCATATGAGAGTTCAATAGCGTTACTGCTTTTGGAAAGAGGCTATCGTTGTACACAGATCATCGTTCCTATTCTCCATTTGGCTGTATTCGATATCCACATGACTTGTTGGTGCCAAGATCTTTCATGTACTGCTGAGCCAGATATACTGCATGCTGTAGAGATGTGCTCAAAATACACATGAGTGAGTCGTTCGTATACAAAAATATCCCATCTCCCAGTGCAGAGAACATGCATACATGCTGACACTGGTTTACAGATAGAGCCATGATAAGTACACACACAATTTACAATCCATCTCCAGGAAAAAAATCTCTCAACTATAGATGCGGAGTAAAAATAGATCCTGACATATAAGTGAAATCATTTTTATCAAGAGTGCCACTGTACCTTATGTCGAAACATCCCATTGACACAGTGGAGAAATCTCAGCTGCCATCGAACAACACCCAAGTAGTTCATTATCTCTTGAGTCAGTGCACTTGAAAATAATTAGGTTTCAGATCTGATAATTAACTGTGGCAAGATAATGCAATTTAATTACGCTTTTGTTAATGAGCATGCGTGCGTGTGTGTTCTAATGAAATCAACGTATTCTCGCAGGTCAAAACTGATAATAAGGTTGCCGTGTCCATATGCCTGGAGATCAAGCAAACAGCTGTCAAGGATCGTACCATATTTCTTTAGTTTGCTCTTTTTGCTGTTATTTGGAGATAGCAGGAAATACACAGCTTAATCAAGATATTTATTTTCAGAAACATATGACACAAATCCACACATTTAAATACATGTATATATTGTTAACACAGTAGATGCCTATGAATAATTTAATTGTGGACCCTATATATTGAAAATGTATATTGTAAAAGGGGCTTCATCAATTAAATGTAGACACACAGCTAGTAAAATAGTGCCCACCTGTTTGCTGCTTTCACATCTCCAACTGAACCAGACTTGGACTAACATTTGAACTATTGCATAATTTGAGTCTTGTGAGAGACTTGCCCTGATTTGTTCTTCAATGGTGGTCATCCCTAGCCTGACTCTCGCCAGACCCATGTAGTTCGCTGCACTTCACACATGAGTCTGGTACTGAGCCATAGTAGTTGGATTTCAGAAGGCAGGGCCTTGTAAAAAAAAATCCTTGTATGTGATTGGATAGACCACTTGTCCGTTATCTTGAATGAAGTCTGCTTTCAACCACTCACATCGAAGCACACGGCTCCCATAGGTTGCCAAATCCCAGCAAGATTTTCCAACCCAAAATCCGCGAGAATACCCAAAAAAAAAAACACTCAAAACACAAAAAACACATTTTTTGGCTAAAAACGTAATCAACTTGAGCTATCATGATTCTGTTTATTGTCTTTCTGTTTATTTAATACCTACAAGTCTCTTGGACTGCCACCTTAACGTGGTGGGGGAGTTTGAGTACTCGGGTGATCCTGGGAGCTATGCTGTCTGGGGCTTCATGCCCCTGGTAGGGTCTCCCATGGCAGACAGGTCTCAGGTGACGAGTCAGACGAAGCGAAGTCCACAACCCGTCATGGATCGCACAAAAAAAGAACAAGTGACGTCGCCCGGCATGGCGCAGCCGGGGCCCCACCCTGGAGCCAGGCCTGGGGTCGGGGCCCGAAAGCGGGCGCCTGGTGGCCGGGCCTTAGCCCACGGGGCCCGGCCGGGCTCAGCCCGAAAGGACGACGTGGGCAGTCCCTCCTGTGGGCCCACCACCCGCAGAGGGGTCCGTGGCGGCTCGGTGCAGAGAGGACTGGGCAGCAGTCGAAGGCGGAGACCTCGGCGACCCAGTCCGCACACCCAACATCTAGCTCTTGGGACGTGGAACGTCACCTCACTGGGGGGGAAGGAGCCCGAGCTTGTGGGGGAGGTCGAGAGGTACCGACTAGAGATAGTCGGCCTCACCTCCACACACAGCTTGGGCTCTGGAACCCAACTCCTTGAGAGGGGTTGGACGCTCCACTTTTCTGGTGTATCTCGCGGGGAGAGGCGGCGAGCTGGGGTGGCCATACTCATTGCCCCCCATCTCAGCCGCCACGTGTTGGAGTTCTCCCCGGTGAATGAGAGGGTCGCGTCCCTCCGCCTCCGGGTGGGGGACAAGTCTCTCATTGTTGTGACGGCCTACGGGCCTAACAGCAGTGCAGAGTACTCGGCCTTCTTGGAGTCCTTGGGAGGGGTACTGGACAGTGCACCGCCCGGGGACTCCGTCATTCTCCTGGGGGACTTTAACCCCCAGGAGAAGCGGGGGTGGGAAGCGCCAGTGACACTTGGAGAGGGGTGATCGGGAAGAACGGCCCCCCTGATCTGAACCCGAGTGGTGTTCAGTTGTTGGACTTCTGTGCTAGTCACGGTTTGTCCATCACGAACACCATGTTTGAGCACAAGGGTGTCCACCAGTGCACGTGGCACCAGGACACCCTAGGCCGGAGGTCGATGATCGACTTTGTTGTCGTATCATCTGACCTTCGGCCGCGTGTTTCGGACACTCGGGTAAAGAGAGGGGCAGAGCTGTCAACCGATCACCACCTGGTCGTGAGTTGGATCCGCTGGCAGGGGAGGAAGCCGGTCAGACCTGGCAGACCCAAGCGTGTAGTGAGGGTTTGCTGGGAACGTCTCGCTGAGACCCCTGTCAGACGGACTTTCAACTCACACCTCCGGGAGAGCTTCTCCCAGGTCCCGGCGGAGGAGGGGGATATTGAGTCTGAGTGGACCATGTTCTCTTCCTCTATCGCCGATGCGGCGGCTCGTAGCTGTGGTCGCAAGGTCTCTGGTGCTGGTCCCGGCGGCAACCCCCGAACCCGGTGGTGGACACCGGCAGTAAGGGATGCCGTCAGGCTGAAGAAGGAGTCCTATCGAGCCATGATGGTTTGGGGGACTCCTGAGGCAGCTGTCCAGTACCGGCAGGCCAAGCGTGCCGCGGCCCGGGCTGTTGCAGAGGCAAAAACCCGGGACTGCGAGGAGTTCGGAGAGTCCATGGAGCATGACTATCGGTCGGCCTCGAAGAGATTCTGGCAAACTGTCCGGCGCCTCAGGAGGGGGAAGCAGTTCTTTGCCAACACCGTGTACGGTGCGGGGGGTGCGCTGCTGACCTCGACCGGGGATATTGTCGGACGGTGGAAGGAATACTTCGAGATTCTCCTCAATCCCCCCGTCACGTCCTCCGCTCCGGAGGCAGAGGCTGAGGATGTTGGGGCGGATACTTCTGTCACCCTGGCAGAGGTCACCAAGGTGGTTGGCAGCCTCCTTGGTGGCAAGGCGCCGGGAGTGGATGAGATCCGTCCTGACTATCTAAAGTCTCTGGATGTTGTAGGACTGTCTTGGCTGACACGTCTCTGCAACATCGCGTGGCGATCGGGGGCGGTGCCAATGGAGTGGCAGACCGGGGTGGTGGTTCCTCTCTACAAGAAGGGGGACCGGAGGGTGTGTTCCAATTATTGTGGGATCACACTCCTCAGCCTCCCTGGTAAGGTTTACTCCAAGGTACTGGAGAGGAGGTTACGGCCGATGGTCGAATCTCGGATTCAGGAGGAGCAGTGTGGTTTTCGTCCCGGCCGTGGAACACTGGACCAGCTCTACACTCTCCATCGGATACTCGAGGGTTCATGGGAGTTCGCCCAACCTGTCCACATGTGCTTTGTGGATTTGGAGAAGGCGTTCGACCGTGTTCCCCGGGGTGTCCTTTGGGGGGTCCTCCGTGAGTACGGGGTCCGGGGTCCTCTGCTGAGGGCCGTCCGGTCCCTGTATGACCGGAGCCAGAGCTGCGTGCGCATTGCCGGCAGTAAGTCAGACCTGTTCCCTGTGCACGTTGGGCTCCGCCAGGGCTGCCCTTTGTCACCGGTTCTGTTCACTGTATTCATGGACAGAATTTCTAGGCGCAGCCAAGGGTCGGAGGGGGTCCGGTTCGGGGACCACAGGATTTCATCTCTGCTGTTTGCAGACGATGTTGTCCTGTTGGCTCCAACGAACCAGGACCTACAACATGCACTGGGACGGTTTGCAGCCGAGTGTGAAGCGGCTGGGATGAGAATCAGCACCTCCAAATCTGAGGCCATGGTGCTCGACCGGAAAAAGGTGCCCTGCCCTCTTCAGGTGGGTGGAGAGGCCCTTCCTCAAGTGGAGGAGTTCAAGTATCTCGGGGTCTTGTTCACGAGTGAGGGAAGGATGGAGCGTGAGATTGACAGGCGGGATCGGTGCAGCGTGCGCAGTGATGCGGTCGCTGTATCGGACCGTTGTGGTGAAGAGGGAGCTGAGCCGAAAGGCAAAGCTCTCAATTTACCGGTCAATCTTCGTTCCCTCCCTCACCTATGGTCATGAGCTTTGGGTAATGACCGAAAGAACAAGATCGCGGATACAAGCGGTCGAAATGAGCTTCCTCCGCAGAGTGGCTGGGCGCTCCCTTAGAGATAGGGTGAGGAGCTCAGTCACACGGGAGGAGCTCGGAGTAGAGCCGCTGCTACTCCACGTCGAGAGGAACCAGTTGAGGTGGCTCGGGCATCTGTTCCGGATGCCTCCTGGACGCCTCCCTGGGGAGGTGTTCCGGGCACGTCCCACCGGAAGGAGGCCCCGGGGAAGACCCAGGACGCGCTGGAGGGACTATGTCTCTCAGCTGGCCTGGGAACGCCTTGGAGTCCCCCCGGACGAGCTGGAGGAGGTGTGTGTGGATAGGGAAGTCTGGGCGTCTCTGCTTAGACTGCTGCCCCCGCGACCCGGCAACGGATGAAGCGGAAGAAAATGGATGGATGGATGGAAGTCTCTTGGAAAAAAATATGCGGTAACCACCAAACCTGGCAACCCTGCTGCATAGTGTGTAAACAGGAACACTGAACCAGTGCTTCAACCAAACTTTACAGGAACATTTGACTCTTAAAACACACATATATCAACATAGAACCATCAACATCTCGCCTCAAATTGCATTAAAAGTGACATCCGTGTCTTAATTCGATCGTATTTACTCTTTTAAAAAGATTCTTTACGTCCGCCAACTTGGATTCCTCTCGCTGCTGCATGAGAGAAGCTTGAGAAGGCAGTGCAAACCCCACGTAACACCGGCAATCCTGATTGGTCGATTAAAAAATAATCTGGGGAAGGCGTTCGCTATGGGCTCGATACCAGACCCATGTGGTTCAGCCAAACGCCTCTGGTGGAGCATGGCGGAACTACAAGGGTCTGGCAGAGCCAGGCTAGGTCATCCCTACTTTGAAAAAGCTATTGTAAATCTGTCACAATGGCAAAAATATACCTGAAGGTTAGGACTGTTACGTTATGTAATGTACTTAACATGTTAAAGAGCTTTTAATGAATATAGGAACAATTCTTTGCCTTCTCCTTCCAGTTTTAAGTACAGTCAATACTTTCTACCTGTGTCTTTACCTGTAGGAGCGTACCCTCGCCTGTCCCTGAGCTTCAAACTGAAGAGGAACATCGGCTACTTCATCTTGCAGACATACATGCCGTCTATCCTGATCACCATTCTGTCCTGGGTCTCCTTCTGGATCAACTACGACGCTTCAGCTGCCAGAGTGGCCTTAGGTAAAACAAGAAATGTGTAGTGTATTTCCTATACAAACACGACATACGCAGAGACAGCCAGTGGAATGAACAAGCGGGAATGAATGCTATTATGAACGTGTCACAAGTGAAGCAACGCCAATCAAAATAATAATTGCTTTTCAGCGTCTGTCTGTTCAGCGCGTGATCCCGGTATGAGTTCAAACAGTGTCGCTTACTTTGGTTGAATTAATTTCCCACACTCAACTTCTTCCCCTATGTCACATATAGTCAATTAATTAAAATTGTATTTCTCAAAGAATTGTTATGCATATACCAAATTCTCCACAGGTGAATTCTCCACAAGTAGCTTCCCAGTGAACTTGTATGGTTGTGTCCATGTAGGTTTACTGCAACACACTGAAATCAAAACAAAAATAAAAAACCTCTCAAAATTGGAAGCGTTCAATATTTGAATAGCTTGCCATCTTGGATCGCCGGGGCTTGCTCTGTCCCCTCTACCTGCGAGGCGCTCTCTCCGCGCACACACACACACACACACACGATATGTTAGAGTTCTTTTCTCTCTCCCCTTTTTCCAATTGCTTTCAATAAGTTTTGCTTCATCCATCGCGACGTCCTCAATGCTTCAATATGCTGTGCTTTGCACTGATCATAGCCACAGCTCATTCAAATCACACACCGCTTCTTCTATTTAAAACTATAGCGGCTGCCTGTTGCCTAAAGCCGCGGAGAGGCGAGTTGGGTCCGATAAAAGTGTATGACGCGCTAAATAAGTATAGAAAACAAACGAAGAGGCTGGATCATAATAATCGCTGCGGTCACAGGCCCAAACACACATGCACGCACACACACGCGCCTCCCACCACACACACACACAGGCGCTCTCACGCACACGCACACATGTACGCCGACAACACATGACTCCTCCATCAGCCAAACATTCATTTATTCACACAATGCCCAAACGTGTCTCCTACAAAAACAAAGCAGGCTGATAAACGCACAGCCAGAGCTGCTGCTGCAGCCGGTTTGACCACTAGTCTTTTTTATGGACGTCCGACGGACAGCAGCCAACGCGCGTCAACGGAGACGCGCCCGGTGGAGTCCAGGCCTCAGTTTAGTCCTCCGAGACCGCGGCTCCTGTCGTCCTGTCTCCCTCCAACAGCGCGCAAGTGTGTGCGCGCGCATGAGTGTGTGCGTGCGTGTACGCGAGTGTATGCGTCGTCACTAAAGCCTAAGTTATACTCGCGCGGCGCGGAGCTTACGGAGGTGACGTGACGTCACTTGCGCAACGCGTTGGTCACCACAAGGCCCTTACGTCGCCTGCCGCGCAGCATCGAAATTTTCTAACTACGTAAAGCCTAGTGTATACTTGCGCGGCGTGGCTTACGTTAGCGGTTGCGGTGGACCTACGTAAGCACAATTGATGTTATACTGGCGCGTTCCCCTTACGGAGTTTTGAGGAGAATGTTGTAATCCCACAACAAACCACATGAGGGCGATCACACAGGAGCGGTCCCATTTACGCTGCTACTTTGTCCTCTTCAGAACAACAATAACAAACAAAGCTGTTTGAGCTCATTACACGTGTTTCTACTGTAGGTTTATGTGATAGTTTTATGGATTCATTATTTTATAAGTCATTTCAACTGTGATGCTTTGAATAAAGACACAGTTCTTGTTGGAAACATAGTTATTATTAAATAGTTTTCAGCACAAACAGCAAAACAATAATAGTGGTAAATATCTGAGACAAACATGAACGATTTACGAGTGCAGGAGGAAAGCAACAAACGCAGCTACGATTCAAACAAGACAGGAACAGTTTATAAGTTATATATATGTTAGATATAAGTTATATATATGTTAGATATAAGTTATATATATGTTAGATATAAGTTATATATATGTTAGATAGTCCACAGTCTCCTGTATATCAGGCTCTGAGCCCAAACTGCTTTTCCTTCGAAGCACAAAGCTCTCTGCTCCATAGTGCCTCGTCCATGCTCCTGCTGCAGCCGCTCCGTGCTTCCTTCCAATACACACACACGGACCAATCACAGCGGAGCTTCCTTGCGGCGACCCTTAAGCCTAGTTTATACTCGCGCGGCGCGGAGCTTACGGAGGTGACGTGACGTCACTTGCGCAACGCGTTGGTCACCGCAAGGCCCTTACGTTGCCTGTCCTGCAGTATCGAAATTTTCTAACTACGTAAAGGTCGCCGCAAGGAAGCTCCGCTGTGATTGGTCCGTGTGTGTGTATTGGAAGGAAGCACGGAGCGGCTGCAGCAGGAGCATGGACGAGGCACTATGGAGCAGAGAGCTTTGTGCTTCGAAGGAAAAGCAGTTTGGGCTCAGAGCCTGATATACAGGAGACTGTGGACTATCTAACATATATATAACTTATATCTAACATATATATAACTTATATCTAACATATATATAACTTATATCTAACATATATCTAACTTATATCTAACATATATATAACTTATATCTAACATAGATATAACTTATATCTAACATATATATAACTTATATCTAACATATATAACTTATATCTAACATATATATAACTTATATCTAACATATATACACTCGTAAATCGTTCGTTGTCTCAGATATTTACCACTATTATTGTTTTGCTGTTTGTGCTGAAAACTATTTAATAATAACTATGTTTCCAACAAGAACTGTATCTTTATTCACAGCATCACAGTTGAAATGACTTATAAAATAATGAATCCATAAAACTATCACATAAACCTACAGTAGAAACACTAGGCTTAAGGCCTGCACACTTAAACATTCCTTCCTTCCCATCACTGTAAACTACAGACTTAAAACATGGATTCAAAAGGCTCTGACTTGTACATTTGGATTTGTAACAACATAAATAACATTTTAATTTGGATATTCAAAGTTTTCTAATTATTAAAACCGAAATCATGCAGAGTGTAAAAACGTGACCGACCTCCTCAGACGCTAGACAAAGACTGAGCGAGGCGCATGCTATACTTCCGGTAAGAGCGTGTAGACCAATCAGAAAGGAAGGGGGAGGGAGCTTGGGTTGTTTTTTTTTTTCAAATCAAGTACCTCTCTGTCTCTCTTTCTGACAAACTCTAGACCAGCCATTCCCAAACTCAGTAACACCGAGGCCCCCTTAAAAATCTGACGGGTCTGCGTGGCCCCCCAAAATAATAACCAAGAAGACAACATTAAGAATAGGCTCTTCTGGTTATTTTATTTTGGGGAAATAGCCTCTGCTACAAACATTGTAATACAAAAATGATTACAGTGGCTTATTCAAGTCAAATAATGAACACAAATATTTTAATATTACAAACAAAACATTATAAATTTAACATTAAATAATATTTTTTTTATTTTTTTTATGACCTCCCGCGGCCCCCCTGCAGTACCCTCGCAGCCCACCAGGGGGCCGCGGACCCCACGTTTTTACACTCTGCATGATTTCGGTTTTAATAATTAGAAAACTTTGAATATCCAAATTAAAATGTTATTTATGTTGTTACAAATCCAAATGTACAAGTCAGAGCCTTTTGAATCCATGTTTTAAGTCTGTAGTTTACAGTGATGGGAAGGAAGGAATGTTTAAGTGTGCAGGCCTTAAGCCTAGTGTTTCTACTGTAGGTTTATGTGATAGTTTTATGGATTCATTATTTTATAAGTCATTTCAACTGTGATGCTGTGAATAAAGATACAGTTCTTGTTGGAAACATAGTTATTATTAAATAGTTTTCAGCACAAACAGCAAAACAATAATAGTGGTAAATATCTGAGACAACGAACGATTTACGAGTGTATATATGTTAGATATAAGTTATATATATGTTAGATATAAGTTATATATATGTTAGATATAAGTTATATATATGTTAGATATACGTTATATATATGTTAGATATACGTTATATATATGTTAGATATAAGTTATATATATGTTAGATATAAGTTATATATATGTTAGATATAAGTTAGATATATGTTAGATATAAGTTATATATATGTTAGATATAAGTTATATATATGTTAGATAGTCCACAGTCTCCTGTATATCAGGCTCTGAGCCCAAACTGCTTTTCCTTCGAAGCACAAAGCTCTCTGCTCCATAGTGCCTCGTCCATGCTCCTGCTGCAGCCGCTCCGTGCTTCCTTCCAACCCACGACCTTCTGGCTCAAAGGCCAACGCTCTACCAACTGAGCTACTGCCGAATACGGACTTTGTGGACACATTCGTAACAGCGCAGCCGTACAGAGAACCGTCAATAATGATCTTTAGAAAGAAACACAATCCTAGAAGAAGAACACAACCCAAGGATCCTGTCGCACAAACCCAACATGAGAACAAGGCTTTCCTGGTTATCAGCCAGAAAATGGAGTAAAAATATATATCAAAAACTGCTGGTCGGTCCCAGAGTCAGGACTAAACATGGGGAGGCAGTGTTTCAGATTTATGCAGCTAAAAACAGTCTTCCAGAAAACGTGAGACGGGCAATATTCAAATCCAGGTTAAAAACAGATTTAATCCTGACTTTCTGATTTAAAGCCTTGTCTTGTGAGTTGCCGTGTGTGGACTGTGCTATACCAATAACCTTGCCTAATGCTAAAGGGTTATGAACATATGACATCAGTGACTTTTCCGCGTGGCCTCGCACCAGCATTTTTGTGTTACAATTTGAGTAAACTTCTGAACCATCAAACGACAGAATAAAAATAACATATGTACATGTAGATACGGATACAGGTGTAAAAAATAAAAGAATACAGAATACATACAGGTGAACAGAACCATGAACAGAACCATGAACAGAACCATGAACAGAACCATGAACACGCTCAGAGCAGAGGAGTCATTCTGTGTCCGTCCTAAAAACAACAAAGTTCACAATCTGGTCCCAAAGAGTTCCATCCACATGGACGGCGTGCTCCGGTGTCTGGCCGTGACTGCCCTTCCTCTGATTGGCTGCGTCCGTCCTGAGAAAAGGTACTTGTAGAAGAAGAAAGCAGTTTGTTGCTGGGGGACGTGAATGCTTCTCGGGCACAAGACGCCATTTTGTGTCCACGGAAATCACAGTTGCATCTTTTTGTTTTCCCCCCGTTTGGATTGAATGGTATAGACCAGGGGAGAGACCAGGGGAGAGACCAGGTGAGAGACCAGGGGAGAGACCAGGCGAGACACCAGGTGAGAGACCAGGGGAGAGACCAGGGGAGACAGGACCAGGGGAGACAGGACCAGGGCAGGTTGAGAAGCTAGTAGCAGATCTTGTGTTTCTAATCTGGTGAAAGTGTAAAACAGCCGGAACAATCAGTTGTGTCCCTAGGGTGCTGTGGCGAGGGCGGGGTGGGGTCCTTAGGGTGCTGTGGCAGGGCGGGTGAGGTCCTCAGGGTGCTGTGTGGAGCAGGGTGGGGTCCTTTGGGTGCTGTGGCGAGGGCGGGGTGGGGTCCTTAGCGTGTTGTGGCGGTGCGGGGTAGGGTCCTTAGGGTGCTGTGTGGAGCAGGGTAGGGTCCTTAGGGTGTTGTGGCAGGGCGGGATAGGGTCCTTAGGGTGCTGAGTTGGGGTGGGGCGGGGTCCCTAGGGCGCGGTGGTGATTGCGTTCAGGTCTTTCATGAGGCCCTCCAGGTGGGCCATCTCCTCCGTCAGCTCGTCGGGTTCGTAGCTCTGCGGGAGAGGCACAGGAGGGGGGGCGTTACTGCGCGAGGCGGAGGAGGGCGTCAGGGAGGCCAGGACCTGCAGGAGAGCCAGGGGGGAAGAGGGGGGAGAGGGGGAGAGGGGGGAGAGCAAGCCCAGGTCAGTCAGGTTAGAAGGGCAGGGGGAGGGGGAGGGGCTGATGCTGAGGCAAAGACTGCAGCTGATGTCCTGTACCTGTGATACCTGGACCTGGGGTAAGTCTGGGGTAGACCTGAGGTTGGATTATGGCGTTAATAATCTGGTTTATCGACGCCTCTTTATGCTGCCTTTACCTTTTTACTCTAACGACTTCTCTGCACCTGGAGCCAAAGAGATTCCTAGTTTGTGACCTCCTGTGACCTCCTGTGACCTCCTGTGACTTCCTGTGACCTCCTGTGACCTGCTGTGACCTCCTGTGACCTCCTGTGACTTCCTGTAACCTACGATGCAATAAAAAACATCTGGTTCCCCATGGCAGACAGGTCTCAGGTGACGAGTCAGACGAAGAGCAGTCAGAAGCCAACATGGACAGCACGAAAAGAAGAACCGTGACGTCCCCCGGCATGGTGCAGCCGGGGCCCCACCCTGGAGCCAGGCCTGGGGTCGGGGCTCGAATGCGAGCACCTGGTGGCCGGGCCTTAGCCCACGGGGCCCGGCCGGACTCAGCCCAAAAGGACGACGTGGGCAGTCCCTCCTGTGGGCCCACCACCCGCAGAGGGGTCCGTGGCGGCTCGGTGCAGAGAGGACTGGGCAGCAGTCGAAGGCGGAGACCTCGGCGACCCAGTCCGCACACCCAACATCTGGCTCTTGGGGCGTGGAACGTCACCTCACTGGGGGGGAAGGAGCCCGAGCTTGTGGGGGAGGTCGAGAGGTACCGACTAGAGATAGTCGGCCTCGCCTCCACACACAGCCTGGGCTCTGGAACCCAACTCCTTGAGAGGGGTTGGACGCTCCACTTTTCTGGTGTTTCTCGAGGGGAGAGGCGGCGAGCTGGGGTGGCCATACTCATTGCCCCCCATCTCAGCCGCCACGTGTTGGAGTTCTCCCCGGTGAATGAGAGGGTCGCGTCCCTCCGCCTTCGGGTGGGGGACAAGTCTCTCACTGTTGTGACGGCCTACGGGCCTAACAGCAGTGCAGAGTACTCGGCCTTCTTGGAGTCCTTGGGAGGGGTACTGGACGGTGCACCGCCCGGGGACTCCGTCATTCTCCTGGGGGACTTTAACGCCCATGTGGGAAGCGCCAGTGACACTTGGAGAGGGGTGATCGGAAAGAATGGCCCCCCTGATCTGAACCCGAGTGGTGTTCAGTTGTTGGACTTCTGTGCTAGTCACGGTTTGTCCATCACGAACACCATGTTTGAGCACAAGGGTGTCCACCAGTGCACGTGGCACCAGGACACCCTAGGCCGGAGGTCGATGATCGACTTTGTTGTCGTATCATCTGACCTTCGGCCGCGTGTCTCGGACACTCGGGTAAAGAGAGGGGCGGAGCTGTCAACCGATCACCACCTGGTCGTGAGTTGGATCCGCTGGCAGGGGAAGAAGCCGGTCAGACCTGGTAGACCCAAGCGTGTAGTGAGGGTCTGCTGGGGACTTTCAACTCACACCTCCGGGAGAGCTTCTCCCAGGTCCCGGCGGAGGAGGGGGATATTGAGTCTGAGTGGACCATGTTCTCTTCCTCTATCGCCGATGCGGCGGCTCGTAGCTGTGGTCGCAAGGTCTCTGGTGCTGGTCCCGGCGGCAACCCCCGAACCCGGTGGTGGACACCGGCAGTAAGGGATGCCGTCAGGCTGAAGAAGGAGTCCTATTGAGCCATGATGGTTCGGGGGACTCCTGAGGCAGCTGTCCAGTACCGGCAGGCCAAGCGTGCCGCGGCCCGGGCTGTTGCAGAGGCAAAAACCCGGGACTGGGAGGAATTCGGAGAGTCCATGGAGCATGACTATCGGTTGGCCTCGAAGAGATTCTGGCAAACTGTCCGGCGCCTCAGGAGGGGGAAGCAGTTCTTTGCCTACACCGTGTACGGTGCGGGGGGTGAGCTGCTGACCTCGACCGGGGATATTGTCGGACGGCGGAAGGAATACTTTGAGGTTCTCCTCAATCCCCCCGTCACGTCCTCCGCTCCGGAGGCCAGAGGTCACCAAGGTGGTTGGCAGCCTCCTTGGTGGCAAGGCGCCGGGAGTGGATGAGATCCGTCCTGACTATCTAAAGTCTCTGGATGTTGTAGGACTGTCTTGGCTGACACGTCTCTGCAACATCGCGTGGCGATCGGGGGCGGTGCCAATGGAGTGGCAGACCGGGGTGGTGGTCCCTCTCTACAAGAAGGGGGACCGGAGGGTGTGTTCCAATTATCGTGGGATCACACTCCTCAGCCTCCCTGGTAAGGTTTACTCCAAGGTACTGGAGAGGAGGTTACGGCCGATGGTCGAATCTCGGATTCAGGAGGAGCAGTGTGGTTTTCGTCCCGGCCGTGGAACACTGGACCAGCTCTACACTCTCCATCGGATACTTGAGGGTTCATGGGAGTTCGCCCAACCTGTCCACATGTGCTTTGTGGATTTGGAGAAGGCGTTCGACCGTGTTCCCCGGGGTGTCCTTTGGGGGGTCCTCCGTGAGTACGGGGTCCGGGGTCCTCTGCTGAGGGCCGTCCGGTCCCTGTATGACCGGAGCCAGAGCTGCGTGCGCATTGCCGGCAGTAAGTCAGACCTGTTCCCGGTGCATGTTGGCCTCCGCCAGGGCTGCCCTTTGTCACCGGTTCTGTTCACTGTATTCATGGACAGAATTTCTAGGCGCAGCCAAGGGTCGGAGGGGATCCGGTTCGGGGACCACAGGATTTCATCTCTGCTGTTTGCAGACGATGTTGTCCTGTTGGCTCCAACGAACCAGGACCTACAACATGCACTGGGACGGTTTGCAGCCAAGTGTGAAGCGGCTGGGATGAGAATCAGCACCTCCAAATCTGAGGCCATGGTGCTCGACCGGAAAAAGGTGCCTTGCCCTCTCCGGGTGGGTGGAGAGGCCCTTCCTCAAGTGGAGGAGTTCAAGTATCTCGGGGTCTTGTTCACGAGTGAGGGAAGGATGGAGCGTGAGATTGACAGGCGGATCGGTGCAGCGTGCGCAGTGATGCGGTCGCTGTATCGGACCGTTGTGGTAAAGAGGGAGTTGAGCCAAAAGGCAAAGCTCTCGATTTACCGGTCAATCTTCGTCCCCTCCCTCACCTATGGTCATGAGCTTTGGGTAATGACCGAAAGAACAAGATCGTGGATACAAGCAGTCGAAATGAGCTTCCTCCGCAGAGTGGCTGGGCGCTCCCTTAGAGATAGGGTGAGGAGCTCAGTCACACGGGAGGAGCTCGGAGTAGAACCGCTGCTACTCCACGTCGAGAGGAACCAGTTGAGGTGGCTCGGGCATCTGTTCCGGATGCCTCCTGGACGCCTCCCTGGGGAGGTGTACCGGGCACGTCCCACCGGGAGGAGGCCCCGGGGAAGACCCAGGACACGCTGGAGGGACTATATCTCTCAGCTGGCCTGGGAACGCCTTGGGGTCCCCCCGGACGAGCTGGAGGAGGTGTGTGTGGATAGGGAAGTCTGGGCGTCTCTGCTTAGACTGCTGCCCCCGCGACCCGGCAACGGATGAAGCGGAAGAAAATGAATGGATGGATGGGCATTTCCCTTGCACTTTACAGCTTCCGAACTAAAGACCTGCTGAGCTTTGGAGACCAGACCAGGCCAGGTTTAAGACCTATTTTATACATGGTCCAGAATTATGATCACATGGTCAGACAGTGGCCCCGACTTGGCCCCGACTTGGCCCCGACTTGGCCCCGACTTGGCCCCGACTTGGCCCCGACTTGGCCCCGACTTGGCCCCGACTTGGCCCCGACTTGGCCCCGACTTGGCCCCGACTTCGTCCCGACTTAGTCCACGTCTTTGCAGCAGGAACAGCCCCTTACTGTATGAATGAAATGAGAATGGGTCAAAGAAACTGAAGCCAAAAGAAAAAAGCAGCCGGAAAAACATCCAGAAAAGCATTCCAAATAAACGAAACAAAAAAGCAACAAAATCATTCCAGGTGTTTTTGAAAAGTTATTGATTAAAAGACAAACATGCGCCGACAGAAGCGACAGAAGCAGACGGAAAAGAGGAGAAACAGAGAGACAGAGTTAACGGCGGCGTCCGGACGGTTCCTGTGAGCGTGAGGTCAGAGGAGCACGTCGATGTTCAGGAAGACGTGTCCGAGACTCACACTGTCCACGTCCTCCAACATCCGGCTGGTCTCCGGGACGTCCGGGGCGTTGGGCACCGTCACGATCATCGGGGTCCGCGTCCGGCCCAGGGTCCCGATGGAGGCCGTCTTCACCACGTGGGGGTGGCTGGGAGCGCCTGGGGGGGAGGGGGAGGCCGTCAGGAGAAGTGTAAACGAAAAGGTGCACTTTCATTAAAGTCATTTTAAGTCAAGTTTTTAAGTGTGTGTCCTGGGTCTACAGCCTCAGTCCTGGGTCTACAGCCTCAGTCCTGGGTCTACAGCCTCAGTCCTGGGTCTACAGCCTCAGTCCTGGGTCTACAGCCTCAGTCCTGGGTCTACAGCCTCAGTCCTGGGTCTACAGCCTCAGTCCTGGGTCTACAGCCTCAGTCCTGGGTCTACAGCCTCAGTCCTGGGTCTACAGCCTCAGTCCTGGGTCTGCAGCCTCAGTCCTGGGTCTACAGCCTCAGTCCTGGGTCTACAGCCTCAGTCCTGGGTCTATACAGTCTCAGTCCTGGGTCTACAGCCTCAGTCCTGGGTCTACAGCCTCAGTCCTGGGTCTATACAGTCTCAGTCCTGGGTCTACAGCCTCAGTCCTGGGTCTACAGCCTCAGTCCTGGGTCTGCAGCCTCAGTCCTGGGTCTGCAGCCTCAGTCCTGGGTCTGCAGCCTCAGTCCTGGGTCTACAGCCTCAGTCCTGGGTCTACAGCCTCAGTCCTGGGTCTACAGCCTCAGTCCTGGGTCTATACAGTCTCAGTCCTGGGTCTATACTGTCTCAGTCCTGGGTCTACAGCCTCAGTCCTGGGTCTACAGCCTCAGTCCTGGGTCTATACAGTCTCAGTCCTGGGTCTATACTGTCTCAGTCCTGGGTCTACAGCCTCAGTCCTGGGTCTACAGCCTCAGTCCTGGGTCTACAGCCTCAGTCCTGGGTCTATACAGTCTCAGTCCTGGGTCTACAGTCTCAGTCCTGGGTCTATACAGTCTCAGTCCTGGGTCTACAGCCTCAGTCCTGGGTCTACAGTCTCAGTCCTGGGTCTACAGCCTCAGTCCTGGATCTATTGTGGGCTAACTCAGGACCATAACTTTACATGTGTCTATCTTCCCCTAGTCTCCTTCTTCATGAGACCCCAGTGAGTCTAAGTCTCGGTCTCTGTCTCGGTCTCGTACCGCTCTGTGTGAGCAGGGGCGTGCAGGGCAGGGCGGGGTTCTCGTAGGAGGGGTGGGCTCCCGGGGGGATGGCGGGGACTGCGAAGCTCTTCAGCGGGTGTGCGTGTGCGTGCACCGGGCGCAGAGGGGCCAGGCTGCCGCTATAGCTGCCCTCCTCCTCCGTGGTGCTGCCGTGGTAGCTCCCCTCCGGGTCCACCGTGATCTCCGAGGGACAGGAGAGCTGCGAGGAGAGCTGCGAGGAGAGCTGCGAGGAGAGCTGCGAGGAGAGCTGCGAGGAGAGCTGCGAGGAGAGCTGCGAGGAGGCCGGGGGAGGGGCGTCCGAGCACGGCGTGTTCCTCACCGACTCTGAGGGAGACAAGAGGGTCACGTTATAGATGCCACAACACTACTATGGAACCAGGTGTGCAAGAAGGAGGGGGGAAGGGAGACGAGAACCATGTGGCACTATAGTTGCCACGACACTAAGGAAGGAAGAGAGACCAGAACCATGTGGCACTATAGATGCCACCACAGTAAGGAAGGAAGGGAGACGAGAACCATGTGGCACTATAGATGCCACCACACTAGGGAAGGAAGGGAGACGAGAACCATGTGGCACTATAGATGCTACGACACTAAGGAAGAGAGACGAGAACCATGTGGCACTATAGATGCCACCACACTAAGGAAGGAAGAGAGACGAGAACCATGTGGCACTATAGATGCCACCACACTAAGGAAGGGAGGGAGACGAGAACCATGTGGCACTATAGATGCCACCACACTAAGGAAGGAAGGGAGACGAGAACCATGTGGCACTATACAGTGCCTTGCGAAAGTATTCGGCCCCCTTGAACCTTTCAACATTTCGCCACATTTCAGGCTTCAAACATAAAGATATAACATTTTATTTTTTTGTCATGAATCAACAACAAGTGGGACACAATCATGAAGTGGAACGAAAGTTATTGGATAATTTAAACTTTTTTAACAAATAAAAAACTGAAAAGTGGGGCGTGCAATATTATTCGGCCCCTTTACTTTCAGTGCAGCAAACTCAGTCCAGAAGTTCAGTGAGGATCTTTGAATGATCCAATGTTGTCCTAAATGACTGATGATGATAAATAGAATGCTCCTGTGTGTAATCAAGTCTCCGTATAAATGCACCTGCTCTTTGATAGTCTCAGGGTTCTGTTTAAAGAGGCCAAGAGGCCCATGATCACTCTGGATGAACTGCAGAACTGGTCTCTCTCTCTGGTCTCTCTCTCTGGTCTCTCTCTCTGGTCTCTCTCTCTGGTCTCTCTCTCTGGTCTCTCTCTCTGGTCTCTCTCTCTGGTCTCTCTCTCTGGTCTCTCTCTCTGGTCTCTCTCTCTGGTCTCTCTCTCTGGTCTCTCTCTCTGGTCTCTCTCTCTGGTCTCTCTCTCTGGTCTCTCTCTCTGGTCTCTCTCTCTGGTCTCTCTCTCTGGTCTCTCTCTCTGTCTCTCTCTGGTCTCTCTATCTGGTCTCTCTCTCTGGTCTCTCTCTCTGGTCTCTCTCTCTGGTCTCTCTCTCTGGTCTCTCTCTCTGGTCTCTCTCTCTGGTCTCTCTCTCTGGTCTCTCTCTCTGGTCTCTCTCTCTGGTCTCTCTCTCTGGTCTCTCTCTCTGGTCTCTCTGGTCTCTCTCTGGTCTCTCTCTCTCTGGTCTCTCTCTCTCTGGTCTCTCTCTCTGGTCTCTCTCTCTCTGTCTCTCTCTGGTCTCTCTCTCTGGTCTCTCTCTGGTCTCTCTCTCTGGTCTCTCTCTCTGGTCTCTCTCTGGTCTCTCTCTCTGGTCTCTCTCTGGTCTCTCTCTCTGGTCTCTCTCTGGTCTCTCTCTGGTCTCCTTAATCTAGTTCATGATGACAAAATACTGTGCATTTTAAATCCAGGCTGATCCATAATTGATGCGGTGCAGAGGAGGCAGATCTCGCTTAGACTCACACTCAATCTATAAAATATTATGTCTTTATGTGTTAAGATCTGCACAGAACCATCCGTCTGCTCCACCATGGTACCACAACCATCAGTTATAGGAGCAGCGGGTTTCTCTCTTTACCTGTAGGAAGTGAGTTATGCTAACGCTAGATTTTATACTAGCTTCTGTATTATGCTAAAGATATAGATTTTACACGAGCTTGGTCCCTCTTTCTGGTCTCTCTGGTCTCTCTCTCTGGTCTCTCTCTGGTCTCTCTCTCTGGTCTCTCTCTCTGGTCTCTCTCTCTGGTCTCTCTCTGGTCTCTCTCTCTGGTCTCTCTCTCTGGTCTCTCTCTCTGGTCTCTCTCTCTGGTCTCTCTCTCTGGTCTCTCTCTCTGGTCTCTCTCTCTGGTCTCTCTCTCTGGTCTCTCTCTCTGGTCTCTCTCTCTGGTCTCTCTCTCTGGTCTCTCTCTGGTCTCTCTCTCTGGTCTCTCTTTCTGGTCTCTCTTTCTGGTCTCTCTCTCTGGTCTCTCTCTCTGGTCTCTCTCTGGTCTCTCTCTCTGGTCTCTCTCTCTGGTCTCTCTCTCTGGTCTCTCTCTCTGGTCTCTCTCTCTGGTCTCTCTCTCTGGTCTCTCTCTCTGGTCTCTCTCTCTGGTCTCTCTCTCTGGTCTCTCTCTCTGGTCTCTCTCTCTGGTCTCTCTCTCTGGTCTCTCTCTCTGGTCTCTCTCTCTGGTCTCTCTCTCTGGTCTCTCTCTCTGGTCTCTCTTACTTCTTCTGGTGTGAGTTGGTGCGTCTGGTACAGAGGAAGGCTCCGACGATGACTACGATGATGGTGAAGGCTCCGACCGAGATGATGACGATGACGAGCAGGTGGTTCTCGTTACTGGGGACTCCTGCGGATCAAAGGTACAAGTCCCTGTGAGTCACAATCTGATCTGACATCATTAAAGGGCCCTAATCCGTCATCATTAAAGGGCCCTACTCTGTCATAATTAAAGGGCCCTAATCTGTCATCATTAAAGGGCCCTAATCCATCATTATCAAAGGGCCCTAATCTGTCATCATCAAAGGGCCCTAATTTGTCATCATTAAAGGGCCCTAATCTGTCATCATTAAAGGGCCCTAATCTGTCATTATTAAAGGACCCTACTCTGTCATCATTAAAGGGCCCTAATCTGTCATCATTAAAGGGCCCTAATCTGTCATTATTAAAGGGCTCTAATCCGTCATTATTAAAGGGCCCTAATCCGTCATTATTAAAGAGCCCTAATCTGTCATCATTAAAGGGCCCTAATCTGTCATCATTAAAGGGCCCTAATCTGTCATCATTTAAGGGCCCTAATCTGTCATCATTAAAGGGCCCTAATCCGTCATTATTAAAGAGCCCTAATCTGTCATCATTAAAGAGCCCTAATCTGTCATCATTAAAGGGCCCTAATCTGTCATAATTTAAGGGCCCTAATCCATCATCATTAAAGGTCCTGTCCGCATATGGTTCTGTCTATGGTCCTGTCCGCGTATGGTTCTGTCTATGGTCCTGTCCGCGTATGGTTCTGTCTATGGTCCTGTCCGCGTATGGTTCTGTCTATGGTCCTGTCCGAGTGTCTATGGTCCTGTCCTCGTATGATTCTGTCTATGGTCCTGTCCACGTCTGGTTCTGTCTATGGTCCTGTCGGCGTATGGTTCTGTCTATGGTCCTGTCCGTGTATGGTTCTGTCTATGGTCCTGTCAGAGTGTCTATGGTCCTGTCCGCGTATGGTTCTGTCTATGGTCCTGAAGAGAGGCGGTCGCTCTCTTCCGCCTCCGTCGCGCAAAGACGTGTCTCAGACGCTCCTGCTTCTGACTGCTTGCTATCTCCTGTTTTTGTCTTTTTCCTGGAGTTTTGCCACAGACAACTTTTAGCAAGAATGGAAATGGTAAATTGGTCCCTCAACGCAATTGATTCTATCTTTTCAACACGTAAGCGCGGGTCTGGAGAGCCCGAGTGCCCGGACGGGACTTCACCAGCGGGTTATACGCTTGACAGCTGGAACAAGTGGCAGCCCCTCTGCTGTCGACCCTGTCCATTGAAGATTCGGAAGACGTATATATCTTTGGCTTTTTGGTGGTGGGGATCCTCCTGTTTGGGTTTGGAGCGGTTCTATTCTACCATAAATTCGGAGGCATGGCAGTTCGCAAGATTCACGACCTGCTGGCCAACAAAATTGATGGGATGTACAAGGAGCTTAACCGAGTCGTGGTTGAGAGCGCTGTGGCTGGACAAAGAAGAGTGGTGTTAGTGGAACAGTTGATCAAAGATCTTGCTACTCGTTCACTTGATGGGCATAAAACTCTGGAATTAAGATTGAATGACATTGTTTGTCAGGCTTGAACTCTCTGACCCGGCTTGGATTGGCCCCTGTGTACGGGGTCTGAGGGCGCCGCAATTCGGTTTAATTGGATTTAATAGAATATCTGCCTGTTTTTGTCTGTTAAAATGCATACTAGATTGTCCCTTGTTACAGGAAGATGTGTTTTTCTCCTTGCTGTGTCTTCGCTCCTCTCTTATCTCACATTCCTCGGGCCAAGGCCATCATAATAAATCTGGTCTCTACAACAATTTCACACTCTTTCAGTCAGTTCCAGCTTGGATCCCGCTCCCCCCGCCTTCCTCTGATCTCTCCCTCCCCTCCCCTCCTCACTGTGTTTCCGGCTCACCCCCTCCCTGACCCCGCCCCCCTCTGACAGCCACATTGGGCCGGCTGCAGAAGGTGCTCATCCCGAAAAAAAATCCGTGGTTTATACAAAGCACAATGTTTTCTATCCAACTGTCTGTTGTAACCTGTATGTTATTGCTCTCTGCTGTTTATTCTACTGTTTGTCGCATGGCGCCGGAAAGATGGCGCCGTGGCAAGAGCTCTGGTGTGTGTCGTCTCTGTCTGGCGCACACCGGGGTAGTCTTGCACAGTTTTTCCAATGTGGTTTTACTGCAAATGGCAAATAAATGAATCTGAATCTGAATGTCTATGGTCCTGTCCGCGTATGGTTCTGTCTATGGTCCTGTCCGAGTGTCTATGGTCCTGTCCGCGCATGGTTCTGTCTATGGTCCTGTCCGCGCATGGTTCCGTCTATGGTCCTGTCAGAGTGTCTATGGTCCTGTCCGCGCATGGTTCTGTCTATGGTCCTGTCCGAGTGTCTATGGTCCTGTCCGCGTATGGTTCTGTCTATGGTCCTGTCCGAGTGTCTATGGTCCTGTCCGCGTATGGTTCTGTCTATGGTCCTGTCCGAGTGTCTATGGTCCTGTCCGCGCATGGTTCTGTCTATGGTCCTGTCCGAGTGTCTATGGTCCTGTCCGCGTATGGTTCTGTCTATGGTCCTGTCCGAGTGTCTATGGTCCTGTCCGCGCATGGTTCTGTCTATGGTCCTGTCCGCGCATGGTTCTGTCTATGGTCCTGTCCGCGTGTCTATGGTCCTGTCCGCGTATGGTTCTGTCTATGGTCCTGTCCGTGTGTGGTTCTGTCTATGGTCCTGTCCGCGTATGGTTCTGTCTATGGTCCTGTCCGCGTATGGTTCTGTCTATGGTCCTGTCTGAGTGTCTATGGTCCTGTCCGCGCATGGTTCTGTCTATGGTCCTGTCCGCTGTGGTGACAGTTTTTGGAGTAATTACATAAAACCAGCCGCAGCAAATACACGGACGTCAAAGGCCTTTTATCAATGCAGACGCCCTTCTGACGCCATGCTGAGCTTTGTGAGGGCCCCTGCTGTCTGTCACACCCTTGTGTCTTTCGTATTTCGCATCTGTATGCCTGCCTCTCTACATCCTGCATGACCATTGTCTGTCTGTTCGCACCTCCATCCCAGACGGCGCCAAACGCTCCCCATGCGCCTCCTCACCGGTGGCCCCCTCCAATCTGTTGTGGGCGGGACTGTCTTTCGTGTGTGTCTTGTATACAGGAAACTCGGGGCTCTGCGCTCAGAGCTGGGACATGCTGCTTTTGGAGTGTATGTGCTGGCTCTCCGCACGTGTGTTAACAATAAACTTACGCTTTTGATCAGACAAAGGACCTTTGAGTTTTCTCCTTCATTGGGTAGAAACTTCCTTAACAATTGCATGGTTCTGTCTATGGTCCTGTCCGAGCATGGTTCTGTCTATGGTCCTGTCCGCGTATGGTTCTGTCTATGGTCCTGTCCGAGTGTCTATGGTCCTGTCCGCGTATGGTTCTGTCTATGGTCCTGTCCGCATATGGTCCCCGCTCGGAGCCCCGTTACGGCGGCTGTCACAAAGCGGGTCGGGTTTTCCCAGATGGCATCACAAATACATTTATGGACATTGGTCTCTGCCGCTTATGGACCAATGAATGTGTATTTTTCATCTGTGTTTGATTCTCTGATCTGTGTTGGAGACAGCTTTGTAAAGTCCTCAGAGAAACTACTGCTGTGACTCAGACACAAAAATACATTGAATTGATAAACTTACTCTTTGTTGAGACTGTAGCATTGACTCCAAGTATCTGATGATCTGACTCTTGAAGTCCTTCACCTTCTCCTTCTGCAGAGACAGAAGTCAGAGTTTGTCAGGTCCATGTTATTGTGTTAGCATGTTATGGTGTTAGCGAGTGTCCGTACCTCGAAGCGCAGCACCTCTTTGCGCACCATCATGCCCACTCTGTCGAAGTCTCTCTCGTACTGCGTCACTCTGGACTCCCACTGTAAACAACACATTCACATCAGAAACCACAGATCCTGTATGAGAGGTAGGGCTGGATCAAAACACATTCAAATAGCATTGCTTAATATATATACAAAATAAATACATTTGAATGTACAGTACAGAGCAAAAGTGTGAACCCAGTCCAGATGGTTTTGGACCTGAACCCAGTCCAGATGGTTTTGGACCTGAACCCAGTCCAGATGGTTTTGGGGCTGGACCACAGAGTGAAGGGGCCAACAAGTGCTAAGCATCATGGGAACTCCTTCATGACTGTTGAAGACCATTTCAGGTCCTGTTGAAGCTCATCCAGAGAATGCCAAGAGTGAAGCAGTATCAGAGCAAAAGGAGCTACTTTGAAGAACCAGAATATAACACATACTTTCACTTGGTTCATTCATAGGTTTGATGCCTTCAGTGTCAATCTACAATTTTCATAATCATAAAACTATGAACAATATAACTCCTGTGAACCAGAAGGTGTGTCCAAACTTTTGGTCTGTACTCTGCAAAAATGTATTCATATTTTGACCAATAAATGCTTGTAATATCTCCCTGGGTATAAAAAAGTTATAGCAGCTATTGTTTTGTCCACCAGAGGGCAGTGTCTACAGGTAATCAATGCTGTTTTTAGACCCAGGTTCTTTATTTCAGTCAGATGCTTCTTCACTTCTTATAAACAAGTGTGTAACAGTCGTAGGTCCACACGCTCGGTGCGTACGGACAAAAACAATACTCTGACCCGTTCTAAAACAGGATCATTTATCGAAGACTGTCTGTGACTGAAGTAAAAACAATCACCATTTGCAGCTAATGCACAGATAATCCTCCCAGTTTAATAATCCAAGATTAAGAGCAGTCTAATCTTTGTTCGAATGACAGTGTTTTTGTTAATATTCAAGTTATATTCCATTATTGAATCTGGTTTTCCCAGCTCTACTGACAGGAGTCACCAACCTTTGTGACTCTGAGAGCTACTTTCTCGAGACAAACACAGGCAAAGAGCTACTGCTTAAGGCTTCCACCAGTAAGAGGCCCCTGCTGTATGAGCTACACCGGTGCTACTGAATGTAACACAAAGAGCACATTCCCCAAATCTCACGGCTGCAGACGAGTGTCATTCTCCAGCAGTTGTTTCATCACAGACACAAGATCATATTTCACAGACAATGACTGGGTATTTAAGGTACTTTAGTGCTCGGGAGGAAGAGGAAGAGGAGGAAGAGGAAGAGGAGGAGGAAGAGGAGGAGGAGGACCAGAGTTGGATCTATCTCAGGTAAAAGACTTGGGAATTGGGAGAAGTACAACATTAATACAAGTTTATAAGAAATGATCAAAGTAATTACAAAGCTGGTTTTCTTGTCTTTCTGAAGGACTGACAGTGAGACAGAGACGGAGAGAGAGACAGAAAGACAGTGAGACAGAGAGAAAGAGACAGCGAGAGAGATACAGTGAAAGACAGAGTGAGAGACAGTGAGAGTGAGACTGAGACAGTGAGTGACAGAGAGAGAGAGAGAGACAGTGAGAGTGAGACAGACAGTGAGAGAGTGAGACAGTAAGAGACAGAGAGACAGTGAGTGAGACAGTAAGAGACAGTAAGAGACAGAGAGAGAGAGACAGTGAGAGTGAGACAGTAAGAGACTGTGAGAGTGAGACAGTAAGAGAGACTGTGAGAGTGAGAAAGTAAGATACAGAGAGACAGTGAGTGAGACAGTAAGAGACAGAGAAAGAGAGACAGTGAGAGTGAGACAGAGAGACAGCGAGACAGAGAGCGAGACAGCCATCTGGTGTCTGACCTCGGTGATGTCGTCTTTGGCCTGCTGCAGTTTGTCCGGCTTGTTGGCCCACAGCAGTTTGGCCTCAGCTTCTCTCTTCTTCTGCAGTGAGCTCTGAGCGTCCTGCCACCGCTGCCACGCCCTCATGCGCTGGTCAAAACAGCCCTGGACCAAACCACAACCACAATCTATAACACTGTTTAAGATATACTTTATTAATCTCACACAATCTATAACACTGTTTAAGATATACTTTATTAATCTCACACAATCTATAACACTGTTTAAGATATACTTTATTAATCTCACACAATCTATAACACTGTTTAAGATATACTTTATTAATCTCACACAATCTATAACACTGTTTAAGATATACTTTATTAATCTCACACAATCTATAACACTGTTTAAGATATACTTTATTAATCTCACACAATCTATAACACTCTCAGCCAGCAAAGCAATGTGGGCCCCACATGGGTTTGCCCACATGGGCAATAAGTGGGTTTGTCCGCAGTTTCCATGAGGGCCCCATATGGTTTTGCCCATGTGGGCTAAAAGTGGGTTTTGAATGGGTTCCATGTGGGCCCAAAGTGGGTTAAAACCATAAGGCCCACTTGGGCCCCATATGCCCACATGGGTAACAAGTGGGTTTGTCCGCAGTTTCCATGAGGGCCCCATATGGTTTTGCCCATGTGGGCTAAAAGTGGGTTTTGAATGGGTTCCATGTGGGCCCAAAGTGGGTTAAAACCATAAGGCCCACTTGGGCCCCATATGCCCACATGGGTAACAAGTGGGTTTGTCCGCGGTTTCCATGAGGGCCCCATATGGTTTTGCCCATGTGGGCTAAAATTGGGTTTTGAATGGGTTCCATGTGGGCCCAAAGTGGGTTAAAACCATAAGGCCCACTTGGGCCCCATATGCCCACATGGGAAACAAATGGGTTTGTCCGCGGTTTCCATGAGGGCCCCATTTGGTTAAGCCCATGTGGGCTAAAAGTGGGGTTTGAATGGGTTCCATGTGGGTCCAAAGTGGGTTAAAACCATAAGGCCCACTTGGGCCCCATATGCCTACATGGGTACATGCCTACAATTATCCAGTAGTTTAATTTCCTGAATCTATGATGAACGATATACAATGTGGGCCCTATCAGACCAGACGCTAGTGGTTCAAAACACAGGTCCTGATGTGTTTTTGATGAGAACATTGTAACAACCTTTAAAAATAGTTTCAATTCCTCCAGGATTTTGCAGGTATTGTTTGTGATTGTTGGGGGCTAAAAACATTTTTCCAAAAGATGAAAGGTTCAGCTTAAACATAATTGTACATGAAGACACATTTCTTTGAATTCTACTGAAATTATACCAAAGAGGCCAAGGGTAATAAGAAAATAACTTTTATTTGGGCTGGGACGAAATATATGATCGGATTTGGATCGCGTACTTTTTGCTGCAATACCAATACTTTCAAGTATTGCAATACTTGTGTTTTGTCTTCTAGTAACAGTTACACAGCACCTTGTTACATATTGTGTCAATGCACTTTTCAGTCTTAGCACTTCAATGAATGTCAAATGTCATTTCGGATCGCCCCCGAGTATCATGATACGTATCGAATCATGACAAAAGTGTATCGTCCCAGGCCAACTGAAAGAGAGTTATGATGACAAAATCGTAAAATCCTGGAGGGACTAACAAAAGGCCAGCGAACAAACAATTGCCAATCATATTTACAATAAAACCTGCTTAAATATAACAAGTCAATTTCATACCTTTTAATCATCAGACCAAGGATTTTCTGAAGTTGGTTGTTCAGTGCTTTAGAAGAGTTGATGTGTAAAAAATTATAAGCCTTGTGAGAGAAGTCCTCCTATGCTTGTGTGAAGTGTTCATACTTTGTAGGCAGGATTGGCGGCTGCATCACTGATGACCCAGAGGTGACTGGTCAGCTTAAGATTCTTCGTATCCTGCTGCAAAAACAATGTTCATGTCAAGCACATTTTTTTAAAGTTTATATTACTAATGGAAAAGACATCTTAATTCATCTTTCACTAATGTCAGTCACTCCTGACAGTATTATCTGTAGGGTCATATTTTTAATTTATTTTTTTCAAAAATGTCTTCCTCAAAGCATCAAGAACTAAATTCTTCATTGTAACTGGATTGGTTTCATGTCAGACAGTGAGAAAAAAAGTTCATTTACTTCTGTAATTCAACTTAAAATGTGAACTCCACACAGAAAGGCCCCATCCCTGGTGCGAATCGAACCCGGACCTTCTGTGAAGAACGAGTGCTAACCGCTGTACTACCGTGCCGCCCAAAAGAAAGATGAGAGACATGAGACCGAACAATGCAGAAGAGCTGAAGGAGCTATTGAAGCATCCTGGTCTTCCATAACACCTCAGTAGTGCCACAGGCCGAGAGCATCCATGCCACGCTGCATTAAGGCAGTCATATTATAGTTTTCAGAGGGCACACATTTCTGTTTAAAATAAATTGTTCATTGATTTCATGTAATATTCTAATCTTCTGAGATTTTGAATTTGGACCTAAGCTGTAAACCATCATCAATATCATAACCAATACAGGCTTAACATGTCATTTTGCATGCAATGAGTCTATATATCTAGTTTCACATTTTAAGTTGAATTACAAAAAATAAATTAACTTTTTTACTAAACTGCGCTTCGTGCTCTAAAATAATGAAATGCATGCACATATTTTATTGAGCTGCAGACAGTCAAAGTAAAAGTAAAAGTGGAAAGGATGGCTTTTAGCACTTACCAAGTTTAAACGAGCTTTAAGTCAGCCTGCACCCAATACTTAGGCTTCTTAAAACTGTGTGCTACATACTAGAATGTTCCATGTCCTGTAAAATGCAATACAAAATTGTGAATTGCAATAGATTAGAGGCAGGAAATAAACCATGGAATAAAGATACAAAAACTTACATTATACGTTAAAAGGCACAAGGTTCTCATGGTACACGTCTCCTTGGTTTTCACTTTATGTTCTCCTGATGAACGTTAACAGTGGATACTTAATGTGTAGGCTCTCAGCCATACACAAGTTGTACATCTTCAATGAAGGTTATTGAGTCCTCTTCTGTACTCTGCAGCTGAAGTGTATGATGTTCGCCTCAGTGGATACTAAACTCCACTCATGTCTGCTTTCAGTTGCATCCGACTATTGTCAGTGATGGGAATCATGCTCCAGTGCTGAAGCAGGGGAACACGCTCACGTGTGTAACCTGTTTTAAACATGGCGGAGAAGCACAAATGCTCACACACGTGCAAACCCATGAAAGGGCATCTGTTTGTCATGGAGGTATGTTTTAACTTCGAATCCAGGTGTTGTGCAATATTGTACATTTGTTCTTTAAAGTGATTGTCTAGAGTTTGTCAGAAAGAGAGACAGAGAGGTACTTGATTTGAAAAAAAAACAACCCAAGCTCCTCCCCCTTCCTTTCTGATTGGTCTACACGCTCTTACCGGAAGTATAGCATGCGCCTCGCTCAGTCTTTGTCTAGCGTCTGAGGAGGTGGGTCACGTTTTTACACTCTGCATGATTTCGGTTTTAAATGTTATTTATGTTGTTACAAATGCAAATGTACAAGTCAGAGCCTTTTGAATCCATGTTTTAAGTCTGTAGTTTACAGTGATGGGCAGTAGCGACGCTACTAGCTTAACTCGCTACGTTTTTCAGTAGCTTGAGGGTAGCGTCACTATTTACAAATCCAAGTAACTTTTCTGTAGCTAAGCTATTTTTTTGAGCAAGTAGCGCGGTAGGGTCCTCCAAAGCTGTTTTCTCACGGACATTTCTGATGTTCATATACTACAGCATTTTCCCGCTGCCAAAAACAAAGTAGGAAGACGGAATGTTTAAGTGTGCAGGCCTTAAGCCTAGTGTTTCTACTGTAGGTTTATGTGATAGTTTTATGGATTCATTATTTTATAAGTCATTTCAACTGTGATGCTGTGAATAAAGACACAGTTCTGTTGGAAACATAGTTATTATTAAATAGTTTTCAGCACAAACAGCAAAACAATAATAGTGGTAAATATCTGAGACAAACATGAACGATTTACGAGTGTATATATGTTAGATATAAGTTATATATATGTTAGATATAAGTTATATATATGTTAGATATAAGTTATATATATGTTAGATATAAGTTATATATATGTTAGATATAAGTTATATATATGTTATATCTAACATATATATAACTTATATCTATATATGTTAGATATAAGTTATATATATGTTAGATATAAGTTATATATATGTTAGATATAAGTTATATATATGTTAGATATAAGTTATATATATGTTAGATATAAGTTATATATATGTTAGATAGTCCACAGTCTCCTGTATATCAGGCTCTGAGCCCAAACTGCTTTTCCTTCGAAGCACAAAGCTCTCTGCTCCATAGTGCCTCGTCCATGCTCCTGCTGCAGCCGCTCCGTGCTTCCTTCCAATACACACACACGGACCAATCACAGCGGAGCTTCCTTGCGGCGACCTTTACGTAGTTAGAAAATTTCGATGCTGCAGGACAGGCAACGTAAGGGCCTTGCGGTGACCAACGCGTTGCGCAAGTGACGTCACGTCACCTCCGTAAGCTCCGCGCCGCGCGAGTATAAACTAGGCTTAATCAGAATCATTTTTATTGCCACGTAAGTAACAGGAGGTCACAGACTAGGAAATTGCTTTGGCTCAGTGCAACAGTCAAAAAGAGATAATAAAATAAGAATAAAACACACTTCTAAAGAATAAATTTAAATTTAAAATAGAGTTACAGTTACTATTTACAATATACAAGTGCACATGGTGCACACAATGTAAGGTGACAGCAGTACAGTGAAGTAAAGTGACGTATGATGGGCAGTAAAGTGACTTTATAAAGGGCGGGGGGACAGGTTAAGAAGTGTTCAAGAGTCCAACAGCAGAGGGGAAGAAACTGTTCTTGTGGCGGGAGGTTCTAGTCCTGATGGACCGCAGCCTCCTGCCTGAGGGGAGTGGTTGGAATAGTCCATGTGCAGGGTGAGAGGGGTCGGCTGTGATACGACCAGCCCGGCCTCGAGCTCGGGCGACGTACAGGTCCTGCAGCGATGGAAGGCTGCGGCCGATCACTTC